CAAGGTCCTTCCCATAGTCCCCCAAGGTCGGCTTCCCATAGTCCACCCCAAGGTCGGCTTCCATAGTCACCCCAATCCATAGTCCACCCCCAGGTCCCACCCTAAGGTCGGCTTCCCATAGTCCACCCCCAAGGTCGGCCCCCCAAAAGGTCGGCTTCCCATAGTCCACCCCCAAGGTCGGCTTCCCATAGTCCACCCCCAACCATAGTCCACCCCAAGGTCGGCTCCCCAAAGTCCAACCCTAAGGTCGGCTTCCCATAGTCCACCCCCAAGGTCGGCTTCCCATAGTCCACCCCCAAGGTCGGCTTCCCATAGTCCACCCCCAAGGTCGGCTCCCCAAAGTCCAACCCTAAGGTCGGCTTCCCATAGTCCCCAAGGTCGGCTTCCCATAGTCCACCCCAAGGTCGGCTTCCCATAGTCCACCCCCAAGGTCGGCTTCCCATAGTCCACCCAAGGTCGGCTCCCAAAGTCCAACCCTAAGGTCGGCTTCCCATAGTCCATCCCCAAGGTCGCTCCCATAGTCCACCCAAGGTCGGCTTCCCATAGTCACCCAAGGTCGGCTTCCCATAGTCCACCCCAAGGTCGGCTTCCCATAGTCCACCCCAAGGTCGGCTTCCCATAGTCCACCCCAAGGTCGCTTCCCATAAGTCCACCCAAGGTCGGCCCCATAGGTCGCGCCCAAAATCCACCCCTAAGGTCGGCTTCCCATAGTCCACCCCAAGGTCGGCTTTCCCATAGTCCACCCCAACCCCCAAGGTCAGCGCCCAAATCCACCCCTAAGGTCGGCTTCCCATAGTCCACCCCAAGGTCGGCTTCCCATAGTCCACCCCACAAGTCCAGCCCTAGGTCAGCGCCCCTAAGTCCAACCCTAAGGTCGCCTCCACAAAGGTCCACCCTAAGGTCGGCTTCCCATAGTCCACCCCAAGGTCAGCGCCCCAAGTCCACCCTAAGGTCGCTCCAAAGTCACCCCCAAGGTCGGCTTCCCATAGTCCACCCCCAAGGTCGCTTCCCATAGTCCAGTCGCTTCCCCACCCAAGGTCGGCTTCCCATAGTCCACCCAAGTCGGCTTCCCAGTCCACCCCAGGTCGGCTTCCCATAGTCCACCCCCAAGGTCGGCTTCCCATAGTCCACCCCAAGGTCAGCGCGGCTTCCCATAGTCCACCCCAAGGTCGGCTCCCCAAAGTCCAACCCTAAGGTCGGCTCCCATAGTCCACCCCAAGGTTCGGCTTCCCCCACCCCCAAGGTCGGCTTCCCATAGTCCACCCCAAGGTCGGCTCCCCAAAGTCCCCCTAAGGTCGGCTTCCCTCCCAAGGTCGGCTCCACCCCAAGGTCGGCCCATAGTCCACCCCAAGGTCGGCTCCCCAAAGTCCTAAAGCGCCCCTAAGGTCGGCTTCCCATAGTCCACCCCCAAGGTCGGCTTCCATAGTCCCCCCCAACGTCGGCTCCCAAAGTCCAGCCTAAGGTCAGCGACCCTAAGTCCAACCCAATCGCCTCCACAAAGTCCACCCCCAAGGTCGGCTTCCCCATAGTCCACCCCAAGGTCGGCTTCCCATAGTCCACCCCAAGGTCAAAAGTCACCCCTAAGTCGCTTCCCATAGTCCACCCCAAGGTTCCCCCACCCTAAGGTCGGCTTCCCATAGTCCACCCCAAGGTCGGCTTCCCATAGTCCACCCCACCCCCATAGTAGTCCACCCCCAAGGTCGGCTTCCCATAGTCCACCCCCAAGGTCGGCTTCCCATAGTCCACCCCCAAGGTCGGCTCCCCAAAGTCCACCCCTAAGGTCGGCTTCCCATCCACCCCCAAGCTTCCCAACCCCCAAGGTCGGCTTCCCATAGTCCACCCCCAAGGTCGCCTCCCAAAGTCCACCCCAAAGGTCGGCTTCCCCAGTCCACCCAAAGGTCGGCTTCCCATAGTCCACCCCCAAGTCGCTTCCCATAGTCCACCCCCAAGGTCGGCTCCCCAAAGTCCAACCCTAAGGTCGGCTTCCCATAGTCCACCCCCAAGGTCGGCTTCCATAGTCCACCCAAGGTCAG